TCTGCCTGGTCAGTCATGTATCAGAAGGTACATGACCGCCTAAATGTGTATCACATATGGCACATAACTGAATGACCTTGGGAAAGGTATGAACTTCTTCTCCCAACAGGTAAAAGGACAGACCGAGTTCTATAGCCTTGGATAGCAACTGGTCTACTGCAGAAAGAAGGTAACCTACTACAAAAAAAAAATCTGCCTGGTCAGTCATGTATCAGAAGGTACATGACCGCCTAAATGTGTATCCATATGGCACATAACTGACTGACCTTTGGGAAAGGTATGAATCCTCTTCTTCTCCCAACAGCTATGGGTAAATAGCAGGACAGACCGAGTTCTATAGGACAGACTACTGCAGAAAGAAATTCTACTACAGGAAAAATTGCCTGGTCAGTCATGTATCAGAAGCCTGGTACAGAATGACCGCCTAATGTGATATGGCACACTGACTGGCTATGGGCAGCAGGACAGACCGACTGCCTTGATAGAAAAGGTACTACAGGAAAATTGCCTGGTCAGTCATGTATCAGAAGGTACAACCGCCTAGTGGCACATAAACTGACCTTGGGAAAGGTATGAATCCTTCTTCTCCCAACAGCTATGGGTAAATAGCAGGACAGACGAGTTCTATAGAAGCAACTGGTCTACTGCAGAAAGAAATAGTAACCTACTACAGGGCCTGGTCAGTCATGTATCAGAAGGTACATGACCGAAAAAATGTGTATCACATATGGCACATAACTGACTGACCTTTGGGAAAGGTATGAATCTCTTCTTCTCCCAACAGCTATGGGTAAATAGCAGGACAGACCGAGTTCTATAGCCTTGATAGCAACTGGTCTACTGCAAAAAGAAATAACCTACTACAGGAAAAAAACTGGTACAGGTATCAGAAAAATCTGCCTGGTCAGTCCAATCCCAACAGATGGGTACAGGATGACCGAGTTCGTAAATGTGTATCACATATGGCACATAACTGACTGACCCTTGGGAAAGGTATGAATCCTCTTCTTCTCCCAACAGCTATGGGTAAATAGCAGGACAGACCGAGTTCTATAGCCTTGATAGCAACTGGTCTACTGCAGAAAGAAATAGTAACCTACTACAGGAAAAAAAAAATCTGCCTGGTCAGTCATGTATCAGAAGGTACATGACCGCCTAAATGTGTATCACATATGGCACATAACTGACTGACCTTTGGGAAAGGTATGAATCCTCTTCTTCTCCCAACAGCTATGGGTAAATAGCAGGACAGACCGAGTTCTATAGCCTTGATAGCAACTGGTCTACTGCAGAAAGAAATAGTAACCTACTACAGGAAAAAAATCTGCCTGGTCAGTCATGTATCAGAAGGTACATGACCGCCTAAATGTGTATCACATATGGCACATAACTGACTGACCTTGGGAAAGGTATGAATCCTCTTCTTCTCCCAACAGCTATGGGTAAATAGCAGGACAGACCGAGTTCTATAGCCTTGGATAGCAACTGGTCTACTGCAGAAAGAAATAGTAACCTACTACAGGAAAAATCTGCCTGGTCAGTCATGTATCAGAAGGTACATGACCGCCTAAATGTGTATCACATATGGCACATAACTGACTGACCTTTGGGAAAGGTATGAAATCCTCTTCTTCTCCCAACAGCTATGGGTAAATAGCAGGACAGACCGAGTTCTATAGCCTTGGATAGCAACTGGTCTACTGCAGAAAGAAATAGTAACCTACTACAGGAAAAAATCTGCCTGGTCAGTCATGTATCAGAAGGTACATGACCGCCTAAATGTGTATACATATGGCACATAACTGACTGACCTTTGGGAAAGGTATGAATCCTCTTCTTCTCCCAACAGCTATGGGTAATAGCAGGACAGACCGAGTTCTATAGCCTTGGATAGCAACTGGTCTACTGCAGAAAGAAATAGTAACCTACTACAGGTCATGTATCAGAAAAATGACTGCTTAAATGGTCAGCACATAACATGTGGGAAATCAGAATGGGTAACAGCAGGACATGACCTTGATAGCCTAGCAGAAAGAAATAGTAACCAATACAGGAAAAAAGTCATGTATCACAGATGGTACATGACCGCCTAAATAACTATGGCACATAACTGACCTTTGGGAAAGGTATGAATCCTCTTCTTCTCCCAACAGCTATGGGTAATAGCAGGACAGACTGAGTTCTATAGCCTTGATAGCAACTGGTCTACTGCAGAAAGAAATAGTAACCTACTACAGGAAAAATCTGCCTGGTCTTTTGGGAAAAGGTATGAATCCTTCTTCTCCCAACATGTATCAGAAGGACATGACCGCCTAAATGTATATCACATATGGCACATAACTGACTGACCTTTGGGAAAGGTATGAATCCTCTTCTTCTCCCAACAGCTATGGGTAAAAGCAGGACAGACCGAGTTCTATAGCCTTGATAGCAACTGGTCTACTGCAGAAAGAAATAGTAAAAAATCTGCCTGGTCAGTCATGTATCAGAAGGTACATGACCGCCTAAATGTATCACATATGGCACATAACTGACTGACCTTTCTCCCAACAGCTATGGGTAATAGCAGGACAGACCGAGTTCTATAGCCTTGATAGCAACTGGTCTACTGCAGAAAGAAATAGTAACCTACTACAGGAAAAAATCTGCCTGGTCAGTCATGTATCAGAAGGTACATGACCGCCTAAATGTGTATCACATATGGCACATAACTGACTGACCTTTGGGAAAGGTATGAATCCTCTTCTTCTCCCAACAGCTATGGGTAAATAGCAGGACAGACCGAGTTCTATAGCCTTGGATAGCAACTGGTCTACTGCAGAAAGAAATAGTAACCTACTACAGGAAAAAATCTGCCTGGTCAGTCATGTATCAGAAGGTACATGACCGCCTGCATATGGCACAAACTGACTGACCTTTGGGAAATCCCAACACATAACAGGACAGACTGACCTTTGGGCAGAAAGAAAAGTAACCTACTACAGGAAAAAAAAATCAGAAGGTACATTCTTCTCCCATAACTGACTGACCTTTGGGAAAGGTATGAATCCTCTTCTTCTCCCAACAGCTATGGGTAATAGCAGGACAGACCGAGTTCTATAGCCTTGGATAGCAACTGGTCTACTGCAGAAAGAAATAGTAACCTACTACAGGAAAAAATCTGCCTGGTCAGTCATGTATCAGAAGGTACATGACCGCCTAAATGTGTATCACATATGGCACATAACTGACTGACCTTTGGGAAAGGTATGAATCCTCTTCTTCTCCCAACAGCTATGGGTAAATAGCAGGACAGACCGAGTTCTATAGCCTTGGATAGCAACTGGTCTACTGCAGAAAGAAATAGTAAAACTACAGGAAAAAAAAAGAAGGTACATGACCGCCTAAATGTGTATCACATATGGCACATAACTGACTGACCTTTGGGAAAGGTATGAATCCTCTTCTTCCCAACAGCTATGGGTAAATAGCAGGACAGACCGAGTTCTATAGCCTTGGATAGCAACTGGTCTACTGCAGAAAGAAATAGTAACCTACTACAGGAAAAAAATCTGCCTGGTCAGTCATGTATCAGAAGGTACATGACCGCCTAAATGTGTATCACATATGGCACATAACTGACTGACCTTTGGGAAAGGTATGAATCCTCTTCTTTCTCCCAACAGCTATGGGTAAATAGCAGGACAGACCGAGTTCTATAGCCTTGATAGCAACTGGTCTACTGCAGAAAGAAATAGTAACCTACTACAGGAAAAATTCTGCCTGGTCAGTCATGTATCAGAAGTCACATGACCGCTAGAAGTGTGAAATGTGTATCACATATGGCACATAACTGACTGACCTTTGAAAAAGGTATGAACTTCTTCTTAAAAGTGGGTAATTCTTCTAGCCCAACAGCTATGGGTAAATGGTCAGTCATGTATCAGAAGGACAGACCGAGTTCTATAGACCTTTGGGAAAGGTATGATAGCAGACTGGTCTACTGCAGAAAGAAATAGTAACCTACTACAGGAAAAAATCTGCCTGGTCAGTCATGTATCAGAAGGTACATGACCGCCTAAATGTGTATCACATATGGCACATAATTGACTGATACAGTGTATTTAAAAAAATTCACTAAGTTTTATCTGTGAAACTGATACCTCCTGTTGACTAATTTTATCCCAAATGCACTTGTACTATAGTCTATAATTATACCTGAGATGGTAACTTCTAGTTTAAATGACTCCATACTATAATTTACTAAAATGATATAGTATTATTATTATTGAGTAAGAGTGCAGTATGCCAAAAACATGATACTAGGGGAGGGCCTAATATACCTATAATGACACTATAGGATATACTAGGCTCATACATCTCAGCTATGTTATTATTATTTTGTGAGATTGAATGAGATCAATAAAGTAATTCTGGAGTATAAATATAGAAAGCCAAATATACCTATCCTAATACCCAGTCTGTTAAGGATATACCAAGCACATGTTTCATAGCCAAATAATAAAAATAATAATAATTATTATTATTGAGTGAGTGAGCATATGGCATCAAAGTGATTTTGGTGTACAAATATATGGATCCCAATAAACCTATCATGGTAAGGGGAATGCATTACCACCAACTCAATACTGCTGACTCGATGACATGCAGACAACAAAGTTTTTTTGTTGACTTTTTAAAAACAAATAAAAGTAATTTATTAAGGATCATTTTTTAATACATGACTTTATTTTTAATTTAAAAATTCATTGAAAATTGTATGCTGCATATATTTCTTCAATTTCAGGAGAGAGGGAGATGACCAATCAATTGCTCAAAAAATGCATCTTGGTTTCATTTTCAGGTAAGTCCACAGAGTAGACTGGTGGTAAGTTGTCATGGAGATGAATTGGCCAGTATTGAGTCAGCAATGATAAAATGTCCACTCACATGCTAAGGGTATGCTGGGTACATGCATTACAGCAATATAGTAACAGGTTTTGATAAAAGCTCTGCATAACCATTGCCTATTAATAATAATAATAATAATAGTTATTATTATATGTACTATAAAAAGAAAGAACAGCATCTTCAGATCAGAATGAAAGACAAAACAGTGTGTAAAGAAAATGCATTGGGATTTTTGAGGATGGGGGCAATAAATTAAATTACCTTTTCAGATCCTATGACCAGAGACTAGAAAGTGTTTTTTAAATTTTTTTTTATTATTATATATTAAAGCTGTTGGATTTTAAATCAGCCCACCATGAGTAGATTTCTGTTTTTTTCTCTATTAGCTCATATACTGCATTGTGCTACTATTGCTTTTGTGATGATTAGTGAGATAAATCTAAGACCAGGGACATCACATTGGTCATGATTTGAGTGGTCAGGAAAGCAGCGTGTGTGTGTGTGTGTGTGTGGCCAAAAAAAGTTTTTTTACTGAAATACTATGTATTCAGTTTTAAAAGCCCAAGAACTTTTACGCACACACACACACACATATATATATATATATATATATATATATATATATATATATATAGAATATATATATATATATATATATATATAGAATATATATATATATATATATATGGCCAGCTCAATGTACTGGCAACTTGAGCAGTTGCCTGGGGTACCATCAAAACTGAAGACACCATAATGCCACCATGTCAGGTGTTTTAGAGCATGCTTGTGGTTGTCTATGACTCAAGACAGATTAAAGTCTTTGGCTATTTTGTCAATAGAAAATGATCTTGTAAAGAAGACAGGTGTAGAAATCCATGAAAAGATTTGCAGATCTAAAGGCTAGAAAACTGTTTTAGGTAGGATAATAAATGCTTTCTTTAGCTTGCATTAAGTTGTTTATTGTAATAAACTCATTATTTTACATTATTTAGTTTTTCTCCTTGTATGTAAGGGATGATGTGGTCACAGAAATTGTTTGACAGCCATGACTTGGTTCTCCTGCTTGTATGCCATTGTGCAGAGTCCTGTTACCAGATACAGCGTTTTCTAGCAGCCACCCTTTTGATCCAGAGCAGCACTACTTCCTCAAGGCACTTGATGTAAGCCTGTGTGTTGAGTCTGAGGCCCTATGGGAAGATAAATGGAGGCATAATATTGCCATCACTCTTGATCACTGCAAACACCATGATGTTGACTGGATATATTGTCCAACTCTTTCCAAATCTTCTGCATTTGAAACCTAAACACTTTGAAATGTTCGCATTGGAGCTTTTAGTGTGAATGCCAAGCAGTACAGCATAATGTTTCCAAATTTCTGGTGGAGTGAATTGTGTCATGGTACTTTTTTTTTTTCACAGACAGTGCCCAAATGACCTTACTATAACATGCAGTTGAAAAAAAAAAAAACACACACAATGTGCATGTGTGAAATTAAAAATATAAAATGGCGATAATTTAACCATCGCACCCTTTATAAATATAAGCATGAATGAAGTGAAAAGTGAGTACTTACCTTGTTGGAAATATTACTCAAAGAACAAATCCGATTTCCAAATCCTTCAGCAGCAAGACAAAATCTCTCACCACTGTCACTTTCCCGTGCTGATGTTGCCAAACAACTTAGGCATACAATGTCCTCCTGTAAACAAGAAAAAAAAAGTCAAAATTGTTAGAATTTCTTTGGAAAGAGAAGAACTAAAATCAGTAAAAATTCTTCAGATGCACACCAAAACAAAATTAGTCATTATTTTTTCCCGTCTTGTACATTGGTAAAAATTTATTTTTTTAATTTAAAATCTAATAGGAGTAGATAGGGTCACCTATTGCCTGGTTCATACTCCTCCTGAGTCTTTTGAACAAGTAAAGGTATATCCCTTGTTTTCTGTTTAGGATTGGGTTTCTAGTTCCTTATAAAGTCTACTTCAACTCTATACTTCTAACATCTCCAACTAAGCTCTGAAATTTTATTTACTAATTATTCTTTCTTTCTCCTCAAATGGAGCATATAGTTTTGTCTATCTCCCAGTTCACACTCTTTTGAACAGGAGTAGAGGTTTATCCCTTGTTTCCTGTTTAGGATTGAGCTTCCGATTCCTTCTAAAGGTTTTTCATTATGCAACCCACTACCTCGAGTGGCTCTTGAACCTTGTACAGAGTGAATATCATTGTAAAAAAAATACTAACCCAGTTCTACAATGCTCAAATCCTTAAACATCTCAGTTTCTTGGATTGGATTAATACCACAGGTTTTTAAATGTTTTTTACTGATTGTGATAATAAAATAAGTACATCCCATCTCCTGTCTTGCTTGTAACCATCCACTGTAATAAAATAAATGTTTTCAGTTCTAAAGCTGAATTAGTCAAATAAAGCTTCTACTTAGAGTTGTATATTTCCCCAAGTCTCCCATTGAGACAAGATGTGACACATGGTTGGGTTTTATGTGGGATACCTGAGCACATACACTCAGGCCAAGTAGAAAAAGTGTCCCAGCCCCTGCAACTGTCAGTTGTGCTTGCCTCAATGGTTACCACCAATCCCGCTCTCTAGCACAATGAAAAGGTGCAGCCTTGGGCAGCTGTTTCCCATAATTAGAGTATCCCATCTACCCTCTTGCTTATAACCATCTGCTATAATAAAATAAACATTTTCAGCACCAAAGCTGAATTAGTCAAATAAAGCTTCATAAGCTTCTACTTATTGTTGCTATATTACACTGATAGCTAAATATTTTTTTTCTTGTATTTTATTTACAAGAAGCATTAACCATGAAAAAACCTACCATCAATAAAATGGTATAAAATTTAGGAACAAACAATAAATACATTTCTATAAGTATCTGAATATCTATTCTATAGATAGATAGATAGATAGATAGATAGATAGATAGATAAAACTAAATTGCAATAGAAATTCTCTTTAAAATTTCTGTATAGACTTTTCAACAAGACATCTATTTTCTAAAATTTCAACATGACATCTATTTTCTAAAATTTCTTTTGTGATTATGCTAAACTCTCTTTAATTTCCAACTCTGAACATAGCTACTTTGTGAATTTATAAAAGATGAATCACTGAAAAAAATTACATAAGAGGTCTTCTACTATGAACAGCATAGAAAAGGAAGTAAATATTGACTTGTTATTAATACATAGTCCTATTATTATTTTTGTTATTATTTTAAGTCTACTTGAATTTCCAACTCTAGATATACCTACAAAGAGCTGACCATAAGAGAAACCTTTGAATAATATCATAATGTTTATAACAATATTGGTTTAACATAACAGACTATTTCTTTTAATTGTTTAAATGATTCAGTACAGTTTAAAGAAAATCTGTTTAAATAGTTTATTTTTACTTATTTAGTAAGTAATTTATCATTTATAGAATTTTATCATTCTACTGATATTGCAGTGATGAAAAAATCAATAAAAATAAATAAATAAATAAATAATAACAAGGAGACCAGAATTTCACCATCTCTAAAAATAGACCATGAGATATATTTCCACAAACATATCAGAAACGACCTCAACAAGGATATGAATATCATAGTCTAACAAGCTAATTTAAGACAAGATCTATTCTCAACCAGGATATGATTTCATGGCTCATGGAGCATTTGGAAACCAAGTTGCAATTTTAAAACAGATCTCACTAGTAAATGTATATAAGGAGATGGACAATCAAACCAAATCAGAATTGAGGAATTAATTTTATCAATTCTCTGATGCTGTAGTCATTGCATTATATATATATATATATATATATAGAAATAAAGATAAATTTATTAATGAATACAGATTTTTAAGGTTTTTCTGTAATTATATATATATATATATATATTTAAGTAACCAATATAATGGTAATGCATATGGATAATCCCAAGGAGGATGAAATCCAGAGAGCTCAATGTTAAGTCAGAGCAAATAATTTAATTTAAAGAAAAAACAGACCATTTTAAGGTTCCATTAGTTATAATCTATTTCACCAGAGATTGTATTTTTTCTGGATCTTCAGACTTCACTAAGCTTAATACTGCCCTTTAAAAAGTGTAAATTCATTTTTTCACCCTTTGAAAGTGAAGTCTGAAGATCTAGAGAAAAATAAAATCTCTGGTGAAATAAATGATAACTAATGGAACCTTAAAATGGTCTGTTTTTTTTTTAAATTAATGTATATATATATATATATATATATATATATATTATATATATATATATATATATATATATATATATATATATATATATATATATATATATATATATTATATTATATTATATATATATATATTTGTCATGAACTCTCTTGAAGACTCATCTTATGTCTCTACTCTCTTGAAGACTCATCTTATGTCTCTATAAAAAGAATACCCGCTCGGCCCGGTGGCTAGGATCAAAGTGTAGTATCTGTGCTTTGTGAGCTGCCGAGCCGGGTGTCTGTCGAACTCTCTGCTTTAGAGGGGAACCCGGACGAAGCTCCGCCGAAGGGTGGGGTTTCGTTCGGGGAGGTTGACGGAACTAGCCCGCTTGGACGGGTTTAGATGGGTTTTATTTTTGGCTGGGCCTACGGGCTCGGACATACCCACATTAAAAAGGCCTTGTGCCACATTCAATTCCTGTGGGTGAATTGATAAATACCATCTTATGTCTCTATCCTTTTGTGTGTGTGTGTGTATATATATATATATATATATATATATATATATATATATATATAATGTTTCATAAACATTTATTTTGTTCTATTAACTCTCTGAATTTTCTTTCAACCTTTGCACAAAGCCATTTAAATATATGGTAGGATATGACATTGTCATAGGATAACTTCTTTTTACCAGCATAATGTAACATGATAATTTAAGTTGAGAACACAGAGACAAAATTTAGCCTCATGTGAATTTAAACATTGCAAGAAGTTTATTTTAAATTACAGAATTGCCAGAAGTTGGTCTAAAGATTAATATTAATAAATATTGTGTATAATGTAGTTCCCCTCAGGAATGTTGCTTATATCAAATTTGTGTGCTGTTGTTAGCCATCTTTGAAAATCCTTTGTTGGATGTAGGCCTTCTTTAGATCATTCCTTTTGCCATTCATAGGTGGAAATAGGCCATTACCTTAATGCACTGGGCCAATCTGTGTTGGTAGGGACTTACAGCACATTGTATTCCTAAGTGGTTACTTATCTAGGTGCTGACCAGGCTAAAGATTGCTTAAATTGGTGATCGAATGGGAACTGGTCTTTCAATGTGATTTGTCAGGCATGAAGTTAAGAAAATGTCCTGCTTTACCTCTGAAATTTTTATTTTTGTAATAAACCTCCCACCCAAAACACAACAATACTCCATTGCTTTGTAATTGTTTGTTCTGTCATAAATTACATTGTTTATGACATTTAAAAAGATTTATAATAAAACAAAAATAAAAATTATTTTAATGAAATTTAAATAAAACAAAACAAAAAAAAGAACTGATTCTTTCAATTTTACTTTAATATAAAAAGAAAATTGGAAAAAATTGAAAACTGAAACAGACTGATAATGCTAGATGAATTTAAGAAAACTTGTTACTCTGTCTGTCTGTCTGTATGCTTCTCTCTATATTTATATATATGAAAAAGAAGTTGAATTGAAAATGCAACTGGATTCTTTATTGAGAATAATTTCACTGGTTTCACAGTTCTATGATTTTCAAAAGCATACAGCTATAAGACACCAGTGTCATTTTCAATGTCTTTTACCCTAGTGGGATATATAAAAGTAACTGTACATTCTTATATATATATATATATATATATATATATATATATATATATATATATAAAAAGAGAGAGAGAGAGCAGACCGAATGGGGTCAATCCCCTAAGATCACTAATGGTGGAATAGGCAAATATCTACAAGATCTCAATGAACAAGCCGGTGGAAGAGGGTAGTGCCAGTCAGGCTGGCATAACTAAGGCAGACCTTGACAGACCAAGCCCCTAACAGCCTGATGCAACCATGCTTGCCAGATATTTACTAGATCTTTGCCAGATCCCATTTGAGCTAAAAGGGAGACACTTCTGGGCAAGTGTGTGGGCTTTTCCATCATGCAGAGTTCACCACTAGAATCAAATTCATGCAAATGGCCTCGTTAAACTCTCTTTGACTAAACTTCAAGAGTAGGCTGGGCCTCCACAGTCATCTCCACCACCACCACCACCAGAGGGGGAGAGAGGGAATAAGGAGAGAGGATGATGATCCCAATGCTCAGATGTGAGCGGGTGCTGACTACTACATCTATGCATGTGAACACTTCAAATATAATCCAAAACAAATTTTTGCCTCAGGAGCTAAAAACTTGTAATAAAATTTAAATTAATGAAAAAACAAATCCTTATGCTATTCCATTGAGTTAATTTAAAAAAAATGAAGCAGTGTCTGTCATCAAAATATCTAAAATTGACTTTCCTATTATTTACTTGATTGCTATACTTTTGGAATAGAATCATTATTATTTAGACTTCTGTTATTTTGATAGCATGAAAGACATTGGAAAAAAAAATCTATTTTTAATCTTTTTGACCAAAGTAGGAGTGTATCAGTTATGTCTAAGTCTCTTGAGAAAAATATGCCACAAATTGCAGTGATTAATCAATACCAATTTTAAGTCATGTGATTTTAATTTTGGTAAATACATTTCATTTTAATTCTCTTCTGTTTTCTGCATTTAGCATCAACTTTTCAACTTTTATTATAGAAAAAAATTAAATTGAACATTTTCACAGGTGAGAACCATTTCCATCAATTGTTAATAACAGTTCTAAACAAAAGATTCTTTCTGATGTTTACCAGACTGCTATCAGGAAAATATTTGACTTTTAATTTTCTACAATCCTAAAATAAAATATTGATATTTAAATGCCATCAAAAGTAATTGGAAATAAAACGAACAAAAGCACTTGCATATTCTTCTTCTTCTTTCTATATACCATGTCCCTACAGGATATTGGTGATCATGGCTCTCCACGATTTCCTATCCTTTATAGCTCTCAATAAATTTTGTCTTTTTGTTATCTCTCCTAAACTTTTCTTTGCCATCCATTTACTCAAGCTCACTAGGTAGGTTATACATTGTTTTCCTCTGTCCCTCTTGCATTCAATTTGTCCTGTGAGTATCAAATTTTCCAATCCCTCTATTCTCATTATATGCTTTAGAAATTTTTATCTCTTCCTGATGGTAAACATAAGTGTCCTTTTTGTTTCCATTTTCTGTAAAACTTTGTCATTGCTCACATGTTCAGTTCATAGTATTCTCAGCATCCTTCTGTAGAACCACATTTCTGTTCCTTCAACTCTCTTTTTTCATCTATGAGGAGATTGTTCAGTATTCACTGCCATATAGGAGGACTGATATTACATAACAGTTCAGTAGTCTTTTCTTTGTCTCTAATGAAATTCTTCTGTTTCTTAATACATTGCTTAGCTTTTGGAAGGTATCTTTAGCCATCCCAATGCACCTTCAGATTTCAGTAGACAACATTAAGATTTTTAGAAACATCAAATAATCATAGAAAATGAATTCCCAATTAAAGGAGATGGAAATATTTTAACAGAAGGTAGCAAAATATGAGTTTCTTACAAAGAGGTGCTGAAAAGTTCTTGCCAGGTTCTGCTAAAGGGAATGATCTTGAGCCATGAAACACTTTTATTTCATATATTAACACTCAATTTTCACACATTTAGAGAAAACAAGACCTTCTTATAGGAGCCAAAGGCCAATATATATACATATATGTGTGTGTGTGTGTAAATATATAGAAAAATAGGAAAGAGCCATTTGGTTAATAATCCAAAGATCTTTAGTATTTTTGTTTTTATTTTTAAAAAACAGTGCTCAATACATAAGTAGAGCCATTTGCTCCATGAATTTCAAGATCAGTTATTCCAAAATTCGCTTGAGGATGAAATAGAGTTGGCATTTTAGCTTCTATTTTTGAAACATGTGAACTCTTATGATGGATTTATATTTTTAAAAATAATTATGGACTGGATGGCTGTTTCATCCTTTTTTGGGACTCCTCAGTTGTGCGCATCCACTACCAAGAATGGGGCCAGTTCCAGTGGGTCATCTATGCTTGGATGAGTATCACCACCGAAATTAGGAGTAGCTGCACTATATTAAGTTTATTTAGTTTCCACTTCACTGCCGAACCAGTGGTATGACATTTGCATCATATCTTAATGAGCTGGGTTTGATTCTTTGTAGTGGATGTGTACTGCTGATGTATCCGAAAGAAGGACAAAATGGCTGTCCAGTGCTTTCTATATTCTGTTGAGGATTCTTGTTCTAGACTTGATGAATTATTATGTGAAATTATTCAAACCGCCCAATATTTCTATTACATATAAAGCCTTGAAGGGGTTTTCAACCTTTCTAGAGATGGTACCTCAATAAATCACTTGGTGTACTTAAACTATCGTGAGTGTCTGAGTTGGGGTGTCAGTAAGAGCATCTGGCCTTGTAAAACCTTGCCTCAATTTATTATGACAATTCTCAGTATATTAACAGATATATGTGGAGAGGTAAGCTGAGATACGCTGTCAGGTAGGACCCACCTGGATTTGTGTGGGGTTAATCCAGGTTCTACCTCAACAAAAAAAAAAAATGGCTCTAATGAAGATGATGATGGAACATTGCTTTCCAAGTTTCTTTATTCCTTTTCCTCCAAATTTTAATGTTTGAAAAGTGTGTGGAGCCCAAGAATTTTTCAGCACCCCCTCATACAAAACAATTTTAAATAGTTATATAAAATACAAATACCATACTAACAACAACTCATAAAGTATAATATACATAAATGAAGTAATTGTACTGACAATATTCATCTAGTTTTGGGACACACAAAAACCAAAACAGTTCATCTAATTTTGGGACACACAAAAGTCAAATAATGTATGTATGTATGTATATACAGGGGGTTGCAAAAGTAGGTATACAGTAATGAAAAACAAAACATGCACACAAAACATATTGTACAAACTTATCAATAATAACATATCGATAATATACATATCAATCCCTCAAATGTTCAAACTGTTTACCCCCAGCATTCATATATTTCTCTAGTCTAGAGTGGACACTCATACACACTCTGTTACAAAGGTCTTTATCAGCATCAATTTCCTGGTTAGCCTCCTGTATGAACTACAATATTGGTATAATACTGTATACCTACTTTTTGGGGTCTGCTGGTATCTCTCGAAACTCAGTGTCTGACTAACTTGAATTAATTCAAGCGATACTTTTTATACATTTTCGAGTTTTCAAATAGGCTACAGGGAGCTGCATGGGAAAAAGGTTTGTCTCAACTTTGCTACATTTTAGTGTCCTTTTAACCAATGGAGGATTGAATTTGGAAAAGTAAAGTGATGATTGGTTAAAGGTTTATGTGGGGAAGAGTGCATCTTCCCATAGGGGGTGACAGGCAAATGTGGAGGATTCCATATTATACTAAAGGTCGTGCTTTCAAAAAAAAGAATGGTTGACCAGAGTATTTTTGTAGTATAACACTGTTAAATCAAGTAATCTTTATTTACACTATTTACATCATTTAGATTGTTGTCCTCATTTTTATTACCATAAAAAAAGGAAACCGAAAAGAAAAAAAATGGAGAAAGAAATAAAGAAAAAAGAAATGTAAGAATAAATGAATGTAATTGAAAGTTTTAAGAGTAAGAAAAGGTAAAGAAGATGATAATAAACAAGAAGAAAAGAAGGAAGAGAAATACATATTGTTAAGGAAAATAAAGAGAAAAAGAAAAACGTAAAAAAAAAAGTGTCAAAGAAAATAGAGAACTATAAAAATGATGAGAATGGAGAAGATGAGAGAAAAAGAAGCCAAAGTTTATCATCAGAGAGAAGAAAAGAGAAAGAGAGGATTATGATGAAGAAAGTGAAAATAAAAGATAAAATAGAAAAAGGTAGGGGGGAAAATTAATAATGAAAAAGACAAAGCAAAGAAATATGAGAATTAAGAAGAAAAAGACAATACTAAAATTCATAATAACGGTTGATCAGAAAAAAAAAAAGAGAAAAAGAATGAAAGTAACAAGAAAGACAACAGAAAGCAAAACTGCAAACATTGGGAAAAAAAATGAAAGAAAGAATAATGGCAGAATTTTCGAAAGAAGCTGAAATAAAAATAAAAAAATTAGGAAAGAGAAGAATAACAAGAATATTTGTAGCACAGATATCAGCCCAGTAATTCTACAAGCAACCATCTTTATTTGTGCATGAACCAAGATTAGATTACATTTTTCTATTTTTGATCAGCAGGCAAAAATATGAAAAGAAAAATTGATTGACATGAGTATAAACACTAGAAAAAATATTGGTATGTCTGTCCTGCTTCGATAATATCTAAATAATTTTTGTTTTAATTATCATATTTCCTAGCACAATACCAAAGATTTACTGGTATCCAATATACCCAAACCTCAAAACATCCAGTAAGAATTGTCATAGAGGAAAAAAATGAAAGTCTGTATGATTACATTGTGTCAAAAATGAAAAATTACTGCAGGTTTGTCAACATACCAATGGTCACCAAATGGTTGGTAACATTATTGGTCCTGACCTGGCATCTCTGTAATGTAGCTTCTCTTTGCCTTTTCTATAAATATTTCCATGGTAATTGTTCTAATGAGCTTTCCTTGTTGGTACCTTGACTTCACAAATTTAAGAACAGTACTAGATTGGCAGCTGGGTCTCATAATAATAACAATAATAATAACAATAATAATAATAATAACCTCATCTGGAAGCATTAATGATCGTTTTATTTCCTGTTTTATGTTTTGTTCTACCTTTGATAATTGTTGTAACCTAGGAAGGGTTACTGAATGAGGAATAACAAAAACAAAGTTTGAAATGGTAATCTTTATAACATCAACAAAATACAATACTCGCCAGTGGCATGAAATAGGTAAACCACTGTTAGTTGTGGACTACTTAGACAGCATATTACCCTCATTACAATAATGTCCAATGTATTTATAAGGATAGGGACATACCTATTAGTGTTCATAGGTATTGTATATACACAGCAATATATATGGGGAATAAGCTGGCAAGACTATGTTTACATAGTTTTTTGGGGTTCAGCTGTGACCTGGTCCCAAGGGTGCTGGATTAAAGAGGTTGGACTATAGCTGAAATTTCCAGAACAAATAATGAAGAAAGAGAGCTTGAAAAATATGACTCTCACAGGATATATTGAAGGCAAAACAGACAGAGGAAAGAAATGTAACTGACTTAAAGAGCTTATGTAAATGGTTCCCAGAATAGGCATTGGGAGAAAAAGACAGCTATTACTAAGATCTACACAGGACAGGAAATTGTGGAGAGCCATGATCACAGAGAAGAAGAATACAAGCAATATTTACAAAATGATGCTGATAAAACTAATTATGAAATGCAAATGCTTTTCTAAATTATTAATACACTGAAAATGAAGAAAAAGGATTTTCACAAGTTTGAAATCAATGAATCCTGGATGAAGAAGAGACTTGAAGCAACAGAAATGTAGATCTATAGAATGATTCTGAGAATACTATTGTTGTGTATGATACACCTAATTTACATAAGTGGAGTACCGACCATATAAATATGGGTTGGTACCGGAAGACGACGGAAGATTAAGAGATCGAATCCAGAGACTCTGCCCGACTGCGAATTAGTCAACCCATTCTGCAGGAACAGTCTTCCCAAGAATATACCAAAACTACCTGTAAATATTGTGTACCTTTTTTCATTGTTTCAATACATTTTGTTACGTACATTTTGTGTTGTATTATTATTATTCCATGCTTATTCAAGCTTCAACAACTATGAACCAAATATGTGAGCAATAATGATATTTTAGAGAACATCTAAGCAACAGAAAACCATTATAATGAGGAAAGAGGGCTGGGAAAATTTGATACTCACAAGACAGATTGAAGGCTAGAGGGATAGAAGAAAACAATGCATAACATACCTAGTGAGCTTAAGTAAATAGATGGTGGAAGAAAGTTTAGGAGAAAAAACAAAATTTATTAAGTGCTACAAAGGATATAAAATTGGGGAGAGTCATGATCGCCAACCTCTTGAAGGCACACTACACATAAAAGAAGAAAAATGTTGCCCAAAGAATTTTTAATGCAAGTGCTTTCATTTGTTTCATTTATAATTACTTTGATGGCTTTTAAATATCAATATTTTATGTTATGATTGTAGAAAATTAAAAATTTAGATATTGTGGAGAGCTATCATTGCCAATATCCTGAAGGGACATGACACATAGAAGTTAGTGAGAGAATACTACTATTTTAAGTAGAATGTAAATGCATTTTTAGTATTTTTGCTGTATAAATTCCTTGAAAATAATTGAACTATAGAAATACACTTTTTATAATTTCATAGTAGAAAGTCATTTAAATGAAGAAAAAAGGGATTGTCAGTGGTCAAGAATATATATTGAAATAGCAAAAGATGCATTCCAAAAGCTAAGCAATGTACTAAGAAACAAGAACATTTTATTAGAAACAAACAAAAGACTTCTGAAATTGTTGTGGCCTTGTTAGATGCCAGAAATAAAGACACAAAGAGAGGAATTGAGTGAAACAACAGAAACAGTAATACAAAAATATATGGAGAGAGTGTTACAGCAAGAATGTTTGGTCTGACTGTCAGAGTTGACTGTTGGAAATTTCCCTCTTCAAAAGGCAGTACCTGCTCCTATTTATAGCTGGAAGAGTCCATGCGTGCATGGGTAAATTACCATAACAGAAATGATATTTAATACCAAACCTTCTATAAGGCAGTAAATGTTGGACAATTTCATCACAGATGAAGAGAAGACTGGAGGTAATAGAAATGTGGTTTTACAGAAGAATGCTGAGAATACCATGGATGGAATGTGTGAGCAATAATGAAGTCTTTAGAAAAAGGGAAATGAAAAGAACCTTTATACTCGGAATCAGAAATTTTGAAATTTCTTGTAGCTTAGAGAATTTGATAGTCACATAGATATATCAAAGGCAAAAGGGTCAGGGGGGGGGCAGCAGGTCATCTACCTGACTAGCTTGTGTAAGACTGGGTGGTAGTATCAGGGAGAGAGGAATGGCAAAAAGACAAACGTTACTAAGAACTACAATGGATAGGAAGATGTGGAGAGACATAATCTCTCATGTCTTGAAGCAACACAGCACGTAGAAGTTACTGACTGAATATATATATATATATATATATATATATATATATATATATATATATATATATATAATACAAAAAGTTAATGGTCAGAGTTGAAACAGACCAGGAAACAGTAGTATTAAAAAGTGCTCAATACACATGTGAAAAAATAGAAATAAAAAATAAAAAAAATAACATGTAGAGCTTTTAACTTTAAAAATTAGGAGATCAGTTGAATCTGCTACCATTACCATGGTTTCAAACTTATGGTATCCTCAGGCAATTTTTATCATTTTTTTTATCATCACCTGAGGATATTGTAAAGTTGAAACCAAGGTAGTGAAATCAACTGATCTCCTAATTTTTAAAATATATATATATATATATATATATATATATATATATATATATATATATATATATATAATATAAAAGGCTCAAACACTAATATGGTTATAATTTATTACATTGGAATCATAATCACGATCCAATTCATCAGACCTACAAATTCAAAAAGAAATCGGAAAAAATATTTATATTATATTCTTACTCTGTCCTGGACATTGAGTTCTAGTTGGATTCTATCCTCTTGGGAATTTATATATATATATATATATATATATATATTGACCACTGATATTATCTATCTACCTATCTATCTATATATATATATATATATATAGTGACCACTGATATTATCTTATATATATATATATATATATATATATATATAGTGACCACTGATATTATCTTTATATATATATATATATATATATATATATATATATATATATATAGTGACCACTGATATTATCTTATATATATATATATATATATATATATAGTGACCACTGATATTATCTTATATATATATATATATATATATATATATAAAATATTTGAAAGTAGATGAAGACTGCTATCTTGTAAAAAAACAAACAAAAATTACATTGGAATATTTTTTGCAATGAATGGCCTCATTTTTTTACAATTATTTCTCACCATGCAAGGCAATAAAGCCACTAAATCGCTAAGGGTTACTAAATTTTAGAGAGTATGAGAAAAATACTATTAAGGAGAAAGGACGATAAAACAGCAAGAATTACGAAGACAGTAGATAATAAGTGACATTGCATTTTAATTTTTGAGGATCAAAGTTCAGTAGGAAGCTAGATGCTGGAGGAGAGTTCCATGACTGAGAAGTGTGAGAGAAGAAACTGTTAGCATAGAACTTACAGTTAAATCTAGCCATTTCAACTGTAAAATGATGAAACCTTGCCACAAATCTAGTACATTGCTTAAATTCATAAAGCCTAGGCACCATAAAGGAAAGTTCATCAGAACAATTACCATGAAAATATTTATAGAAAAGACAGGAGGAAGTTATGCTATGACAGTGAGAAAGTGACTGAAGCCATGATATCAAGTCAGCACCAATAACATTGCAGATTCTTCTTGTGATTTTATCAAGATTCTTTAAACGTATACTAGGAGCACCAGACCACATGTGGTAGCAATATTCAAAGTAAGGATGAATGATAGATCTGTAAATATTTT